GAACATGCAAACTCCAAACAGAGAGACCCTTGCCTGATGGTGGAATTGAACTTCTTCCTGTGAGGCAACTAGGGATGGGTACCGGTGTCCGGTGCCATGATGGCACCGGTTCTGACATAAACGGTAGTAACCAGACCGAAAAGCAGCGCACATTTCGGTGCTTTATTTCGGTGCTTTTTTTTCCTGAGATGTCACACACTTCAGATTCTAGCCAATCATTTTACGTTTCCGAGGATAGTAGGCGGGTCCAGGTACGTACGTTCTGTTAGAGCAGAGCTACAGATTAAAAATGTCCAAGGCGAAGCGGTCAAAGTCTGGCTGTACTTCACAGCAAAATATGCAAACTCAGCAGCAACAAGTGCTTTAAGCTGATACTGTGATACTGTCAAAGGAGGTAACACCTCAAATCTGATGAAACACCTGGCGACGCATAGCGTTTTTTTTAAAGCCGAGAAATGCGCCATATTTGATAGCTTGCTGCGAGACCTCACACCGAGCACATCTACTGCGGGTGTGGTGCCTGTTATCGGACCGGAGTTAGCAACATCCCCCAAAAACACGAAGAGGAGAGTCCTGGCCCCTAGCCCTGCCAGTGTAGCAGAAATGATGAGGATGATGATGCAGCAGCAGCCGTTCTTCTCTGCGTGAGTAGCTTCATGTTGTTCGAGTGTAATTTACGTTGAGTAGGCTAACCACGTTATTACATTAATGCATGTAAGGTGAACTAGCAAACACTGTCGTAGTTACATGCAGCTGTCTTCTTGTTTGATGGCAGATACTCCCTTCACCCTGGCCAAAAAGGCTAAAATGACCAAAGAAAAAGTGGAAAACAGTTAAACATGAGAGGTTTTTGGACAAAGTTTGTGTTTTTTCCATTGTTTAAGCACTGCTTCCAGCCAAGAGTGATACCATATATGCCCCATAGCTGCAGAAAAGGCTAACATTGTTATCTTTTTACAAAAAAAACAGCTGAACATGAGAGGTTTTTGGACCAATTTTGTGTTCTCCATTCTTTAAGCACCGGTTTGAGCACCGTTTAAGGACCGGCACCGTTTCAAAAGTACCGGTTTGGCACCGGTATCAGATAAAACCTAAACGATACCCATCCCTAGAGGCAACAGTGCTAACCACTGCCCCAAAGCCTAGATACAACTGCTTATTGTGTATGGTCAACATGCTATAGATGTTGTACTATAGAGCGCTAGTTAACAGAGCTATTGCAGTCTTACTCCTCAGTTGACTTATTTAGAGGTTCCCATCACACAGATGGGAGTAAAAGGTCTGCTGGGCCTGTGTCAGTGCTGGGTGGCAATAAATCAGTTAGAGGTCAACTTTTACAAAAATCTTCTAAATGCAATAATTTGAGAACAAGGTGATCTAGGTGGTGTTTTGAAATTGATACCATAGATTTATCTGCTAAGAGGGTGATGAGTACCACTCACCCCAGACAGTATTTTATAAGTTGCTATTGGTGCATAAAGGTTAAAGAGGGGTCATTTTAGCCCATTTGGTACATGACTGCCAGGCAACATGATGATCTCATGATATCTGAAAAAACTCCAGGGGCCTAAGATGTGCAGAGATGTGCCAAGTTTTTCTTTTGCTGAACTCCTGATTGTGGAGGAGGAATTTGTGGACAAACAGATAGAGATTAGGTGTATTTCAGTAAGATAAGATTAATATCTGCAGCAACATTTCAAAGTCACTCAACTAGTAGCACATATGCCTTTTTGTCAAGCTACAAATTGTGACCACTATTAAGGTGTGTGAGCAGTATGATACATGTAAAAACAGATGTTCTTAGTGTTCAAAATAAACATAAATGGGAATGTTTTGCTTTGTTAGTGAAATCATTACAAAAGAAAAGCAACCTGTATTGTTCTCCCCCACTGTTGCAAGTCCCAGATAACAGCATAAAGAGATCATAGGGGATTTATCGGTCGCTTTTATTTAAAAGGAAGTGTTATTGTGTCACATGGATTGACACAGCAGTAATCCTCAACTATTACTCCTCCTACGTACCTTTCACCCGCTTACACTTGAATGTTAAACTGCAGCTATCAGAGAGCAGGCAGGGAAGGTAAAACAGAAGGACAGTAGGAAAATGCACATAGCACTTGATAGAAAATGGTTCATCATGATGTTACATTACAAATTTCCAGTAATTTGGCCTGGTCTATAAAATTTCTGCACTAGTAACTCAATAGCAGGTAATATCCTCTCCATTTCAAACACACAGCATCATCTGGGATGCTCTCTATGTCAAATAGCTGTTTAGAGTAATCACCGGCAAGAGGCTGACGAACATTCCTAGGCAAGTATCACTGGCACTGAGTGCATGCGGTCATGTGGCCGGTACTGTGCAGGCTACTCTCAGCAAAAAAAATTGGGACAACAGTGTCAGTACTTTGGAGATGACTCAGATGAAAAAGAACAGAAAAAGCTCAAGTGGGAGTTTTTAGAGACAAGATGACCAGAAATCCAAAAATATCTTGCAGTGACAAAATGATCCCTGGTATGATGCAAAACTACCAAGCATGAAGAAAATGCTGCTCTCATACAATCTTTCACCTTGAAAGCTTTTCCCAAAGGCCGGAGTGACGGACATTCCTCTGTGCCCAGTTAAAAACAGGAGCTTTGACCCATTTGCTTCCACTTTGGGTATTAAAGTAGGACACTATATTGCCTACTGAGTATCCCATGAAAATATAGTATGTGTAAAATTAGAATGAGGGCTTAAACAGCATCTAGCTAATTCAGCTAGCTAGTTCAGGATCCAATTGCCTTTCTTGGGGGAATGAATACTTCTGAAGCTCTGGTAGGCAGCTCTGTGGGAGATAATGGCAATGCTTGGCTTGGTTGAAAACTCTCTGAAAACTCTTATGTCTCTCTGGACTCAGAAGGCATTACTGACCACCACCACCACCACCACCAATTTAAAGTGAAGCAATGTGACTGAGTGTGTCATGTGGTGTGTCAGGTATAATTTGCTGTGGCTATGGAGACTAATAAATCTCTACTTTTTGAACATACATTATTTAATTACGATAACCTATAAGCAGCCAACACAAACTATAACAAAATGCAATTGTCGCTCCTCCTTTTAGCATCTAGTGGCACTCAGCATGATTATTAATGACAGTAACAGATCATGTTAATGAGTCATGCTTGAAACAGGTAGCTACAAGCATTGTTGAATCCTCTGCAAATGAGTTTGATTGTGTGCTGGATGAGAATTGGCATCCGATGCATGGTCATTAACTGCGCAGTAGTGCAACGATCTTTAATTTCCTTCAAATCTCTTGTGAGTTTGGTGATTTCATTGCCAGAGACAAGACTTTCGGAACATTACAGGCAATGTTTGTGCAATTTTCAAATATATAGATAAACTATTATGATTTAATTTTTTTGGAACTGAATGGAAAGGAGCCAAAGACCACAACAAAACAATCAACAGAAACCAGAGAAAGGTTCACATTTTACACAATCAACTTAACTGGAGCCCCTGTTGCATATTTTATGTAGTCCAAATACATACACCCAACCTAACAACATGCTTTTGAACTGCAACGCAAACTACGCTGACTGGTTGAGATAAAGCTCAGATGTATTTCAAACTGCACTGACGACTGCACAAGGAAGCAGAATATAATCGAGGTTAGATAATTATTCCATGGCCAGAAAAGAAAAAAAAATACACTGCAGTATATTCAAATGAGCGAGGCTCTAATTGCATGTGCCCAAATGCACGCACAGAATCTAGTTCGGGAAAACTGTTTTACATTCAGCCCACATCTTCAGTAGTTAGGAGTTCTTAGGCAACAGGCAATTAGAGGAGATACCACTGCTCTTATCTGCTGCTGAATCTGAAGGCAGATTCCAGTAGTAATAGCCTGAGAGACAAGCGGCACCTGAGCCTCTGAGACAGCAATGAACAGTATACATCCTGCAAGCAAATTAACGCCAATACCTTTTTAACCGCCAACACCTCATTACAACTAAATTACTAAAAACTAATTTACTGCTTCATATCTACTATGAAACATAAAGGAAGCCAAAACACGAGTACACAACAGGTGTTTGTGTAGGCAGGCTTGGCCAACATCCGTTTACAGTTGCCATGATGTTGAAACTACACCACAAAAAAGTTAACAAAACTGAAATAAAAACAGGATGATTTTGTGAGAATTTAAGATAGAGACATAACTGTTTGTCCAATCCATCCAGAACTGGTTTAAGGTGTTAGTTATAAAGTTTAACACTATTTCTAGACAGTAGAAATTAGAGAAGTTAGAGAAAAATAAGATGAGAGGAAGAATTCGAGAGCTTTTCCCCCCAAATGTTAAACTGTTAAATTGTATTGAATTAAATATTTTGAACTGACTGATTTACAGGAACATCTACAAGAGAAACATAATGATAAAAATTCAAGGCTAGTTCATATTAACACTTCTTTTAGCCTCTTTAGAAATATTTTCAAAATCTGTCAACTGCCCAACTTTTTAAACAGACTTCCATTCTATCACAAGTATCAAGAAACACTGAATCCTAATCTCCACACACAGCTGCGTGCATCGCATGCATCGCATGCATCTCCTATTGTTGCAGCATGATGTAATTTTTTAATGGTACTTATAATGAATGATTAGACTCCCTGTGCTGCTTCAGAGTTTTTGGTATGCAGACATCAACCGCACATTAAATTTGACACACCATTAATAATTTGGTTCATTTCAAAAGTGAAGATGATAAATTAAGAAGTCGAAATAGAAAAAAGAAGTAAAAAACTTTGCATCTAGGGCTAAGTATTGAAGTGGAAGTCAGAGGTTGCGGGCTCTGTGGACTAAACAAAACTAAGTCCTCAGCTATAGTGGGAAAAAGTCCATGTTAATATATTTCACATATTACCAGACAGGGCTTATAACATAAGTACACCAGTGGTGAATTGCTTTCTTAGTCAGTTTGATTGGCATGAGCTCTGCATGCCATGGAGAAAATACCTGCATGCTGCAGCCATTGAACAGCTTCTCTCAAGCACCAGGTCACTTTACCCTGGCCATTAGAATGCTGGAGCAGTTTGGATTCATCTTGTAGTCTGCAAATGAGAGAAAAAACAGTATTAGGCTTACACTGCTAAAATACTTGTATTATCATCTTACTACATGGCTCTAAATCAGTTTTAGAGCTAGGAAACTAAAACAGAAACCACACAGTCCATTCTGATTTAGAGCATTTTACTTTTAGAGTCTAACCTGCAGCCTAAGGCACCTTTCTCTGTAATGATGCTGCATAAAAGCTCATTTCAGTGAGCCACTAGGCCAAAACACAGCAATGTGAAGTCATCTACTTTTCCAGAATGCAGTGTATGGCCATCAGGGAAAACGATAGCAAATCAAATGTGCGCAAACACATATCACGTAGAATAAGTTGAAGCATGGACCTTGAAGCACTGCACTAATTTGCTGTCTGCCTGGTGAGCACCAACAAAGAAGAGAAAGCTATTTCTTTGATTAACTTTCCAGAGGTGTACATTCAGACCTCAAAGGAGTACGAGGACGTAAACCACTGTCTTCACATGTTAAGCCTTCACCCTGGGCTTGTTTATTTGTATTTCATATTTTTACCTGCACCCTGTGGCAAAATACCTGCACTTACAAAACCCCTTTTATTGTTTTTCCATTGTGCTATTGTCAGTGTCAAGGCCTCCAGTGGAGCACTAAACACTAAATGATTAGCAGACAATGTTGCTGCAATCCCTGAACTTTGGAGTGAGAAAAAAAACCTCACAAAGAATATAGTACTGTGAAAAAGTATTTGTCCCCTTCCTGATTTATTTTCTGCATATTTGTCACACTTATATGCTTCAGATCATCAAACAGCGCCCAAGGGTACCACAAGCAGTAGAGTAGCCAGGGATGGTTCTCCTGAACCATAGCCTCCTGACTAAGAGGTGAACTTGCTGGTGTGTTTCTGATCACTGTCCTGCTGCATAATCCAAACGAACTTGAGAATCAGGGCACAAATTGATGGCCAAACATTCGACTTCAGAATTTTGTGTTAGAGAGCAGAAATCATGGATCCATCAATTATGGCAAGTTGCTGTAGGTCATGAAGCAGCACCAGTAGTCCCAATACCACCACTATGTCGACTCTTGGTAAGACATTCTTTTTAAGAAATGTTGTGTTAGTTTCACACCAAATATAACACAATGTAAACTTTCCAAAAAGTTCAACTTTTTGGCTCGTCAGCCAACAAAACATTTTCTCAAAAGTCTTGGAGCTCATCAAGATGTGTATTGGCAAATGTGAAACAAACTTTTGAGTTCTTTTTGGTCAAGGGTACTTCAGCTTCAGGGTTGTGGGTGTTATAGATGCCACTGACTTTGTTTCTCTTGAGGTTCTATAGATCATGGCATAAGCCATAGTATTTTATATTTTTAGCCTATTCCACTTTGTTAGACAGGTTCTATATAACTGATTTTTTGATTCAACAGGTATGGTAGTAATCAAACCTGGGTGTGGCTAATAAAATTGAACCCAGTGTCAAACACATGTGAATTATTACAGTTAATTTATGATTTTACAAAGGGAAACAAGTACTTTTGGGTAATTTATCCATTAACGAAAATATCCTCATATAAAAATACTGGGGGCTGCCAATGCTACCCTTCAGTCACCTAGTAACTGCACCTATGATATAAATTTGAAAATCCTTGGCGACTTCCTTCATGACCTGACCTGCACTCAATCTACAGCAGGCGGTGCTGGACCAAGGCCAGGAAGATGGTGAAGGACCTCAGCCATCCCAACAACAGACTGTTCTCTCTGTTGAGGTCAGGAAAGCGATTCCGCTCCCTGAAGACCAACACAGAGAGACTGAGGAGGAGCTTCTTCCCGCAGGCGATACGGTCTCTCAATCACACCACCACACAGTACTGACCCACACATATGGTTCTTACACACACACTGGACTTTCTGGACTTTGGTTTTGCACAACACTGGTCACTATATTCTTCATTTCCGGTTAATACTTGTACAGCTGCTGTTATTGTGTATATATTTATTTAGATTTAGATTTCTTCATACATTCTTATATAGTTCTATATTGTGTATTTTGTTGTACAGTTATTTTATTTTCAACTTTAATTTATATATTTTATCTTATTCTTCCCAGTTAAATTTACCCTTCATTCTAATTTGTGTTGTACAGTTATTTCATTTTTAACCTTAATTTATATTTTATTCCTTCCTAGTTAAATTTACCCTTTTTAATTTTTCATATTTATTTCCTATCTTATTCATAGCCTTTTCCTTTTTTTGTTTTCTTTAGGTCACGAGCAGTTGTCCAAGCATTTCACTACATATCGTACTGTGTATGACTGTGTACGTGACAAATAAAATTTGAATTTGAATTTGAGTTATCGCATTTCCGAGGTTTTCAGAAAATTTGACCTCTGAACTCCACTCTCAGTTCAAGGTCACTAAGATTCAGAACTCATTCAACATTTTTAGCAATACAAAAACTTTCAGTAGATGCGCCTGTGGTATGAATGTGAAAGTCATAGGTGACTTCCTTCTTGAATTGTTGCATTCACAAGGTTTTCAGAAAACTCGACCTCTGAACTTGACCTCTAAGTCAAAGTCACTGAGATTTAAACTTGTCCGAGATTTTTAGTAGCCGTCTCATCTATGGTATCGATTTTAAACTCCTATGTTGCCCAGTTCTCTAGTTTTTTCCCAGTTGGGTAAAAGCAATACCCCAGTTAAAAAAGGGAAATAAGGAGGGGGGAAATACTTTTCACTGCACTGTAGATTTCTTAAGATAAATAAGAATCTAATCAAATCAAGGTTGTTTAAAAATATAGGCAAAGAATTACTACAATGTATACAGCAGCTCTGCAGGTCACTGAAATATGTAGGTATTTCCAGTAGTTTGAAAGTAGGAAAATAAAAGCACCACATACTATTTTGACATGTCTTTTTCATGCCCCCAACTTGCCGTCTCATTACAGTCATGACATCTCCAGACTAAACTACTGAGTTGACGTATAACCACAATGCTAAGCAGCTCCTACAGCAGACTGAATCAAACTAGGGTGTTTTTTGGCTGTTTTGTACGTAAACACAACAAATGTGTGGATGCTGGTGTGTCTGTTCTGCTGAGAGAAACCACATTTGGATTTTGTTTTGACCAATTACATCAGTAGGCTGGTTTAAGAGTAAATCTATGACCCTTTTAGCATTTACACTGCAACAGGAAAACAGTGCCACCATGACCATGAATGTGACAGCAGAAGGTAAAGATTTGGATAGCAGCTCACACGTGTTGAATAAAGGTGAATGTAATCGTAAAAATGTTGTTTTTTTTTTACCATGAATCGCCTGTACTTCCAGCGAAGCTTAGGAGCTAATCACGACTTAACTCATTGTATTACAAGGAGCCAACGCACTTTCTCAGTACTGCTATAATACGATGACTCTGGCCCTTACCAAATCTCCAACTACACCCAAGTCCACCCACACCCTCTCAACATCCGACTCACACTAGCAAAGAAACCATTAACAGTAATGAGAATCAATGGGGGTGTTAAAAGTATTGGCAGGCTACCCTAGGAGCTGCTCTCTGTGCCATCTTTATTAGTCTGAAAAGAGACCCAGCCTCTAGCCTGCCAGCTCTAAATAGGAGTGCATTGATCAGAAGGTCAGGCCAGGCTGAATCCAACCCTTTAATTGTCTGCGCCACTCCTCATTCTCATTCCAGCAGCTGTCAGTCGACTCCCAGGTAAACCAAGGCCAGCATCACACGTGGTAGTTCTTACAGAAGTGGGCCTTTAAGGCTCAGACAGAATGTAAGCCATAGGTAACAGGAAGAAGAAATGAAAAGTTATTTCTCATGACATATTCATCTTAATCAGTTGAGAGAAAACCACCACTGATCCCACAACACACACAAACATACACAGTATTACACTTACTCTCAGCAGATGAAAGCTACCTTTTAATTCACTTACTTAATGCATTTCTCAAATTCAGCTCAAGAAAGGCTTCCCATCACGCTGTACTTTCCTTTAACACCTTTTTACAAGACATATTATGTTCTTCTTCAAGTGATATAATCTCCTTTACGGACACAGTAACATTAAACCACTTTGTAAGACTGCTATGCCAGGCCCCCACCTCTACATAAACCACACTACAAGTGGCACTACAAGTACAACAGGCTTATAAGGTCATAACCTTCGAGGGATGACGATCTAGTATTAAAGAATCTATGCTATAGTCTTTGAATTAACTGTTAGCCAGTTAAAGGAACCATGGACACATCTTCCAAAATACAAAACAAATACAAGCACCCAGTCAGTGCCGAAAAAGAGATTCTGTGTCTCTCTATGCATTTGCATATTTGTGAAGCAGATAAATTCACTTCCTCATTAAGTTTAATTACCATTTTAAAATATGGATATGGACTCATCAGCTCCTCCCTGCTAACCTCTATTTATATATTTTTAGATTAAATATATATACAAGTCTGACTCAGAAAATTCCTTTTAAGTTTTAAATATATTTTCATATATTTATAAGATGGATAAAGAAAATGAAAACATGACCACAAACTATCTCCCAAGAAAAAGTTTAAACGCTAACATTAGAAAGTTTATATATCAGATTCTAGCACTTGCCCCGACTGAAAAAAAAGATAGTCAAATCCTTTTGCACCTTAATCCAGATGTCTGGCTGCTTCAGACAGCGCTTTGTCAGAATTGTTTCCTGGCTTTAGAGCTGGAGTCATTTCAGATTTCTTGGCGACTAATCAGATGCCATCATTCATCAAAAAGTTGCAGTGACAGGGCCAAGCCTGTCTTTACAAAATCTAGCAGGGTAAGATTGCATTGCAGTTGTACAGTGATTTGAAGCTCTAGTGTGTGTCGAATATGTCTGGCTGTCAGCCTCCTACATATATTTCATTACAGGATGGTAGCAGAGGTAAATAGATAGGTTTACTTAATATGTTGCACTCCATAAATCCCACAAAAAAGCTCAGATAAAACTGAAAAAATTAAGACAAAACCAAGAACACAGGCAAGGCAAGGGCTT